ATGGATGGATGGATGGATGGATGGATGGATGGATGGATGGATGGATGGATGGATGGATGGATGGATGGATGGATGGATGGATGGATGGATGGATGGATGGATGGTAGATGATGCCTCAGCAATTAAAATATTCATATTTACCGCTTCCTCACTGCTACATGGATTTGAACACCACAAGGTAACGTGACAATTGCCGACCTGTGACATGCAGTGTGATGCCATGCAGGTTGCATCAAGCCACGTGTAGTGCAAAGTGCATGACATGTAAAGTTCAGAGGTGAGAGAAAGTGCAATGACAATCAGGCCTCGGATACTCGCTTTTGTACTGTCAACCGAGATAGTTGCGAAGGTGTCAGTAATTTTGTAACTCAGAAAGCAAATATCGACGGTGAAGCCATAAAACGATGTAACAAGAAGAAAATTTGGCTACACGGTAGATATTTGACCAAAATTTGACAAAAATATTGGCAGTCCAAATGTATAAAATGTATATTCACCTAGTTAGTGCCTCACATCGGTGTGAAAGTTGCATTTCTAAGTTAGGCGGAAACGCAAGGCTATTTAGGCTGCAGAAGGCCAACTGTTTACCACTTTGTTTACATTAAAGCCACTAAATGGTATCGTTAATATCCATTTTCATGCAAGCTTCACCTACCGCGATCCCGTCTGCAAGTTAAGTTTACCCTTACTGTACCGATGTGGCACTGTGACGGGGACCAGGTGTGCAACAAGACTGTAAACACTTCACGCGGTCAAATGTTTAAGTGAAGCCTGTCTCGGGGTGGTAGTTAGTTGTCAGCCCGTGAAAATGGGCAGTCATCCACCTGCCACAGATTCCGATTACACAGTTGGTGGACAACCGTGGAGTTCATATAAACGGGTAATTAACTAAAAATAGCGACACCTTGCAACACGACTTTGCATCAGCCCTAACAAACAATGTGTAATTGCATTGAATTTGACCATAAAACTGAAGTGTTGTAGTCTTCAAAGCCTTAGACCACTTGGAGGTTTTGGGTACGTTAAGCACTAGGAGGACGCGTCAGATACAAGGTGTCGAAAATGAGTGATGATGGGAAGGTGACGCTGTTGACTATAATAGAGTCTACAGCTACAATTTTCCTACTGTCAATGCTTTGTACTTGGTTAGTGCAGTTGGCATACCAACAGATGGTGAATACTCTCGAATGCTCCCTTTTCAATTTGTACCCCATTGTCTGCATTAAGTGATAGACCCGAATTAGAGGTGACAAAATGACACTAATGTGTTGGCTCCACTTTACCTGTTTGATTAGTTTAACTTGAGTGGGTAAATGCTGTGAATCAAATAAGCCTCTCTCTCCGAAAGGTACATACACAAAAAAAGAATAAAATTGACTACCTCACCACCAATCAGCCGCGGATGGATGACTGAACGTTGAAATGCTACAGTGCCTGTGAAAAAAGGCAATGTGAAAGTTGAAAGTGAGCCATACAAAGGTAAGAAGAATGTGGTTGTGGTCTCTTTATTACCGAGATGAAACTGCAATTTTTACAGACAAAATCGGACAAAGGGGAGGTGCGTTTAAGCAGCCTACTAGAATGTCGCCAAAATCGGACCATTTTGATGACTAACCATCATCAGACAGGGACAGCTAGCATATGTGGCTTAAGCTACCCCTACCGTATGGAGGCACACCTTAGGTGCACATGCCCTCAATGTCAGTTAGACGTAATGCATGTCTCAACTTGTCGCCATTTTAATCACATTGCGCGTCTTTCTCCACTCTTGTTCTCTCCCGCTCCGCACAACTGTTCTTCATTTGCACACTTACTGTGAAAATGGGTTTCGGTAGGAAGTGGATGCCTTTGTTTGTTTGCCAACTACTATCACACGACAGATTTCAGTTTAAACAGGCTGGAATGCATTAAGCATCGGTGGTCATGCTGTTCGCCGAATTCACCCAGCTGCATTCGTCAAAGCGCTACATTGGGTTGGTAAGTGTAAGCTGAACCCGCTGACTGTACCGTAGTGGCAAACTTGTTTGGTCGCAGCCTTCTACGAGGCATCACAGTAGTACAGATTGCGCTAAAGTCTAATTTGCCATGAAAAATGACTGCATTTCGCAAATGAAATTAAGATAGTAGAAATTAACAGCCTCTTCATCCCACGTAGCACTAAACCTCCTCCAACCCCGCAAGTAATTACGCATGTGTTTCACGTGCAGGTGTGTTTCTCATGGGTTTGGAAGTGAGACAACTTTAAAGGCACTGTGGGGTCCTTTTGTAAGTCCTTCTTTCGCATTACCAAGAATCAAAAAACCACTTATTGTCGGTGCCAAAGGGAGTATCTGAATCCCGATTGCTATTGCACTTCTTCTCACCTCTGACCTCTGCATTATGTAAGCATCACGCCACATCGATTTCGATGCAACCTCATAACATCACGTCGCGTGTTACGGGTCAGCGATCATCATGTTACATTGTGGTGTGCGGTAAATGTGACCTCTTTCAATATCTGTGTGTGAATGTGTGCATGCATGTATCTATCTATACAATCAACCATCCATCTATCAACTGGACGTCAATGCGTCGTGGCTCCATGTTGATTACAAAAGAGACACTTGAGTGGATGTACTGTTTATGGATTTGTCATGAAAATAATCTGTGGTGCGATGTCGCTTCACACAACCGCATCCTTCACCAGGCTTTGGCATAAACACATGCGCGTTGTGGCGTGACTAACATTCCAGGCCCCCGAACGCCGAAAAATGGCAGTCGTACATAGAATCTACGTTGTGAGGTATCCTTATTAAAACCTGACTACCCCACTACATTCAAACACATCTGTACCCATGCTTTGATTACCTACGCACAGGGCGGACTCATATACCGTCTTTGTCATACAGCGTAAGGACGCGTGCACTTCCATCAGATCACACTTTTGCTACCACTTGGTTGTTTTGGCACTTAACCAAAAAGCCTACACGAAAATAACTCCTCGATGAAACTAGTGAATGAAGACAGTTTTTGACTGCTTACCCTTTCTTTGATAGGTCGAACCGTCTGACTGACTCTGCGAAATTTGTAGGGAGATTAAGCAAGGCGCGACCTCCTCAGGCTACAATCTACCTACACTTCATTCTTCCCTGTCATCGCCACTCATTTTGGCCTCCATGTGCTTGGTTTGTTTCCCTAACCTCTGACGTGCTCACTACTTCTCGGTGGTCTGGGAATTCAAGACCCACAAATATTCAGTGTCTTTCATGTCATAAACCAAATTATATGTAGTCCCATGCGGCATCAGTGCAGGTGTACTCAGGCCCGTCAGTTTTGGAAAGACGTCATGTTTTTCTTGCTTTGACATATTCTATGTGGAACGCACATCCACTCACACTTGCTGCCTCTGATGCACACAACACTGCACAAAATCTGTCTGTCACAAAGATTGCTGCATTGTCTCGGTTTTTCCCGCTATTACCAATGTAGTGACATTTTTGCCTCCTTCGAACTTGTGGTAGAAGCTGGTACACCTCATGAATAAATTTATCCAGATTCCCAAAGTGCAGAATTTGGAATTTGAAAATGTCATCAAGTTGCAAAGGCCTTTCATAGAGTTAGTGGACGCCACTGATTATGTGATTTACCTTTTATTTAAGAAAGAGAGCAGTCTATTTTCGAGAAGCGAGGAAGGGGACATGAAGGTAGGGTTCGAAGCGATCATTATAAAGGCGGAATAATAATGTACAAATGACTGGAAATGCCTAAATGAATATATGGGCGGATGGATGGATACAGGATGGATGGTTAAGGATTAAGCAAACTAATGTTTGGATCTGGTATAAATAAGCACATAAACTAATGGATGATTGGGCATATAAATGAATTTGTGGTGAGAATGATTTGAATGACATAATTTGGGTTAGAATGTCGCATCGTCACTGATAGCCTTCCAAATTGGATGTAGATTGTGAACGAAACAGTTGTGAGACCACCCCAGTAACATGTAGCCAGTGGGCGCAATATACCAGAGAAATGGAAATAAAAATGTACAGTTTTTCTCATAGCTAGAAGTGGATGAAGGGAACGATTATTTCTTCCATACATGTAAAGTTTTTAGATAATAGGATTGTTTATTGAACTCAATCCGAGAACATGTTAAATTATGCACTATTGGAGGCAAATTAGGACAAGTTAGGGGGCGCCACCTCTCTGGTATTTTATTCAAGACCATTTCCCCCTAAGGTCTACGCCGGTTGAACAAAAGTTAATGGAAAAGTCTCACGCCGTAGATCGTGGGTTTATTTCTTTCAGTGTCCCCTCACTTTGTCTTACTAGGTAGCATATTGGCTAGACATTAATGGGGATGTCTACAGCCCCAGAAGACATTTTAATTTCAACGATTTGATATGTCGTGTTTTAAAACAGTATTCTAGCAGCACATTCGCCGCATGCTTCAATTTCATGGGAATCCACATTAAATGTACTGGCAGTTGCCTTGATCTCAAGGCCATTTGGAGAGATACAAATGCAGGAACGTTTTGATATCTCGTGTACTTCAAGCTGCACCACTCCAGAAGGTTTGGCCTCTTGAGTGTGCCAAGGTGGGTAGCATTTTATCACCAACAAGCATTAACCGTCCATGTACCACAGTATTCGTGTTCTCACATACACATTTTACAGGAAAGTGGAGCTGGTGGGGACAACGGGTTCACACAGTCACAGTAGTGTTGAGTGAGTGGGGAGCAAAACGAGAGAGAATGAGGATAGAGAGAGAGTAGAAGGGAGAGATGGATAGAGGAAGCAAAATAAGAAGGAATTTAGGATGCTGTAATCAATTTTAGAAGTTCAGTGTATAGGAAACGGAGAATCCAATGATCAAGTTGGTATGCAACTAGAAGGAGCTGAGGGCCTTACACGCGATCCAGGCACCTAACATATTGGGGACTTCAATGAGGTGATGCGTCGTCTTGGTGTGAGTTTAATCACTAATGAAACTGCCAATGAGACTAAACCTAATCCAGTGTCGATACCATCAACGAGGCGATCTTACATCAACAAGATGACCTCTCAGAGATCGCTCCAAATGCTCGCCTCTCTTGCTCAGGAGTAGATCCGGTTCCAAAATCTACCCCTATTACATGGACTGGATGGCAGAAACCAACCGCCATAGCAACCTCAACCTAACTCCTATAACAAAGAGCCACCACCCTTGTGAGCAAACACATCTACGCCGAGTCCTGAGATGGAGAAAATAATTTTACATCTACTCTGTAGTGCTTTCTATATTTCCAACAGTACGTGTTCCCATATGTTGCAGTACCAATACATGTGTATGTATCTCAATGGTGGATCTCCGGGAATTTATTTAGTTGATTTCATTGGGGGACGTAAATTAACGCTCCAAAATTCTATCCCAATTTTTTTTTTCATTTCGACTAAATTCTTTTAAAATAATCATTTCTAACTCTGTATGCCTGCCTTCACTGGTACGTTCTGTCTCAGGAAGTTCAGGAAGAAATCAACTACTAATTCATTTTTAATGAAGAAAATTAATAATAATAATTAGATATTCAAAGTAATGTCGTGAACAAATACTGTTTTATAGTGAAAAGGTGGCAATTTGATTATTTCAGGTAGTTGGAAGGTGATTACACGATGTTTGGGGCAGCTTGATACATCAGAAACGATGCTTGTATCTTCCTCACTGGTTGCCTGTCAGTACTTTCTCCTAGTGATGTTGAATGTTGGATGTTGTTGGGTTTCTCTCACATGATTTTACAGGTACAGAAATCATTCACGCACTGACATTGGAAATAGGTCAACCACCGATTCCACCAATCACTGTTCTCAACTCACCAGATGCACGTGTCCGTTCCTGGTCTATAAATACAGGGGTTTGACACATGTCACAACAGTCAGGCATCGAATCGAATAGTCGTCAGCAATGGAGCCATTCATCGGTACCTGGAAGATGGAGAAGAGTGAGGGTTTCGACAAGATCATGGAACGCCTTGGGGTGGATTATTTCACTCGCAAGATGGGCAATATGATGAAGCCCAACTTGATAATCAGCGATCTGGGTGATGGCAGGTATAACATGCGATCGGAGAGTAAATTCAAGACCTCCGAATTTTCCTTCAAACTGGGAGAACAGTTCAAGGAGGTCACACCGGATTCACGCGAAGTCATGTCGATGCTCACGGTGGAGGATGGGGTGCTGAAGCAGGAGCAAGTTGGCAAGGACAAGACCACCTACATTGATCGTGTGGTTGATGGCAATGAGCTGAGGGCGGTAAGAACATTATTTCAGATGGATAAAGCACAACTTTTATGCAATCCTATTGTTTGAAATGGAATTTGTTTACATTTTAGACGGTGAAGGCGGATGAGTTGGTTTGTGTGAGAACCTACTCAAGAGGGATGTAAGGGAGGCTGCTACTCATCATTTAACCTCTCCTCTCCTCTCCCTCCCACTTTCCTCTACACCCACCTTTTCTCTTGTTTCCTACTCGTTTTAGTACTCTGGTAATAAACGAAAAATCGCTCTTACCTTTGTGTATTTGGATGGAATTGCACCTGTTCCCGAGGTGGTTACGAACTTGCTGGAAAAATGAATCATTCAGCATGAAGGCTGCAATATTCGTGGGTATCTTTGTGGCTTTATTACCAATGAAGAGTAGGATTGGGAGGCTAGCAGTGGAGCGATAGAATCATCAGTTAGGTGTTCTACAGAGAACGCACTTCATGGCATTCTGGAACTGGGTTCTGCTTCCATTTCTCCCCTTCATTTCGCTGTCATTCTTTTTTTTGCAATGTGGAAAGGTCTTGATTCTCCCAACAGTGATGACTGTTTAGTCAGAATTAGTGACAGGAGACAACCCAACATGACCAATTACCACTCCTTCTTCTCCCACTTTCATCGTTTGCAATTCAAGTACAGAAGCGAAGAACACTTAGCATCCGTCCTCAACAACTTCATGTTGACACTTTTGAAAACCAGCTCTGTTATCCAACGAACCAAAGACTAGTACAACACCGACAACGGCCCCATCAGATTCATTAACGAAAGGAGCACGCGCTCACTTGGGTAGAACATTTCATTCTGTACTGGGAGATGATCTTACGAGGTAGGAGGCAGACCTGGGCCAATTCGAGGAGAAATAAGTTGTGAATAAGGTGGAGTATTCTGCTGACACAATGAAGGCAGCTGTTGCAGAAGTAAATTGTGAGGCCAATAAATCCTCAACCCTATCAGATGGTCTACTCATCTACTCATCTTGAAGATCTTCCAAACACACATCCCACCATCTATTTACCCCTCTTAACAATTATCCTCTCCTGAATCACCTCAAAGAAGTGAATGAAACACAATTTGAATAAATAGAAGCTGCAAAAGTTATTTGGAATAACCACAAAGAAGAAATCTGGAGTTGATAGTAGAACATACTGAGATTTACTACAAGAGGGTCACTTAGACCTCTTCAAACTTTGGCTCAAAGTACCAACTAATGCAGTGTAGGATCAGCCAGTGAGTTACTGAGTTTTGACTAGCTGGTGAGAGCACACAGCACAAGCTGGTCATTGGTCATTCTTTCCTACTGTTAAAATTTGATGCCTTGCAATGGCATGTGGAAAGATGACTAGTGCTTTGTCGTAAACACAGCTGCCGCCTGCATCTTTCAATGTCAGCGGTGTGCTCTGAAGCGACGACTCGCTTTACTCAACACTCTGCATGCTGTCCGATGCATTCAGCACGGGTTGTGGGATTGTCTACTCCAGCGGCAAAGAGAAGTGAAAACTGCAATCACCACCGGCAACTTCGGCATCAAAAGTGAGCTGGAGAAAGGGTAAAATCCAAAAGAAGACTGTGTCTCTGGCATTGTTTTACTTTTTGACCCTACTTTTCTCTTCTTAACTCAGCCTAATGGTAAGCTAAACGCATCATACCCAATGTTTATGCTACAAAGGAAGCATTACTGCACCTCTATTGTGAAGAAGACACATTCACCATCTTTTTTGCTTTCCTGGCTCTGTGTCCACTTTTGCAATGCCTACTCTTACAAGCATTGTAGCGTTTCAGCAACATCCTTTTTCCGTCCAATCATTTGTTTGGACAAATGATGGTAGTGCATTTAACGCATCTTCTCTGTGTGTATTTACTTTTAGGCTAGTGCCATGCTTGATTCACAGCTTCCATTTACTTCAGTTAATCTAGTCAACAAATCAGTACGCTTTTGCCGCCTCAAATTTCAGTTAATCATGCAGTGCTGCTACGCTCCCACCCACCTCGCTTTGACTCCGTCTGTCAGAGGAGTCGCGTAGACAAGTGAGGAGGTTGTACTCCATTCTGGTCTGCTTTACTGCACTGATGATGCAAGCAGACGCCATACTAAGTCATGGATTGAATGGAATGGAGTAGAATAAACTCCAGTTTGTTGGTCAAGGCAAACAGAGCCAATAGGCGGAAGCAGCGCAACAGATATATCCCACTCAATGGACTGTGATGCGACACCGCTTCACACAATCACATTTACCTGTTTCACACACACACTCCTTCTCTAAGCCTTAGCGTACACACATGTGAGTTTTTGTGAAACCAGCCATCCAGACATTGGCACGTAGATAAGGCAGAGTAATTAGCCTTATCAACGCCTGCCTACACACCCCTGTGTATAGGCTCTCAAACACACGCTCTGAGAGAACTCCTGCACCTTCTTCTCCTCACAAGGCAAGGACGCATGCACTTTTAACAGGTCACACTTTTGCCAACGCATTGTCTTTCCTGCTTCTTGTGAAGTATGGTAGAAATGCAAGAACTGCCTCATCATAGCTACTGCAAACCTACACGTAGATGACTCCTTGCTGAAACCAGTGAATGGAAGGAAGACAGGTAATGACTGATTTTCCTTGCATTGGTGTGTCGAAATGCCTGACTGAACCTGATAAATTAGGAGGAGGAGGAGGATCAAGCAAAGAGGGACTAACTTACGACCACAACTTGGCTACACTTTCGTCTCCCCTTTCATCTTTTGACGCACCCACAACATCTAGATGCTCCAAGGATTCAAAGGTGCCTTCATGTTATGCACCAAATTGGAAGTAATAACCACACACGGTTTCAGTTCAGGTGTACGTCGGCATGTCGGTTTTGGAAAGGCGTCACGCTCACCTCATCGTGTTTTATTTTATCTTTTGTTTTTATGTACAACACGCTCCCACTCACGCGTACTGCCTCCGTTACACACAACAGCTCACCGAGCCTGTTTGTCTCAAGGATGGCAATGTTGGCATTGTTCTCCTCTATCATCACTATTTTCGCAAATAAATTTATGGCAGATGGCAGTGCAGCTCAACAATGCCTTCATCCAATTGGCCGAAGTGCAGAATTTCGTATTTGAAAATGTCGCCATGTAATAAAGCCCATTTGGGTTACGTCGATGGTGTGGCGCGTTTTTCATTTAGGGAAGAGGTTAGCCAATTTTATATTGAACACTACCCCACCCCATAAGTGATCGAGGAATGTGTTTTGAGGGTCGGTTCTAAAGAGATCCAAGTATCGCTAAAGTGCTAATGGACAAATAATAGGAAATGTGTATGCGAATGGATGGAAGAAAAGATAGGAAGGAAGGGGGAAAAGAGGGATGGGTGAATGATTGGATAGGGAATGGATGGACAGATGGATAAATGCGGGCTAAATGGATGGTCATGGGTTGGATGAACCAACAAATGGATCTGGTACAAGAAGGCAGATAAGGGGACCGGGTGTCTGATCAAGTGAAGGAATGCATTCAAGGTGAGGATGAGTTGAATAGCATGATTTACGGTGTAATTTAGCATCTTCACCAATGGCCTTCTAAAATGGATGTATATTATGAATAAGAAAGGCAATTGTGTGATTGCCGCGTTAAAACGCAACCAGTGACCACATAAACTAGAACAATGGAATTCAAAATGAGCATTTGTTTTCATGGCTAGAAGTAGATGAAAGCCACGATTATTTCTTTCATACATGGACAGTTTTTAGATGATAGGATTGTCCATTTTGCTCACGTCAAGATCAGATTCAATGATGCACTATTAGGGGGCGATTTTGGATGAGTTGGGAGACACAACCCCCCTGGTACTCTATTCAAGGCCATTTGTGGCTAAGATCTGTGCCAGGTGGAAGAAAACAACCACTTGCTACCATGATTGTAACTGTGTGAAGGAAAAGACGTCGCCAGGATGATTGAGATGAATTTTACACGGTAGATTTGCCAATGCTCACATAGTTTGACCCCAGGTTATCATGTGAAATGCGTCAGCAGAGAAGGACCAACGTGATTGAATTTTTGTAGAACAACTTCAAGCATGAGACTGTCTGTATTTCATCTCCTCACCTGAATAAAGTGGTATTGTTGGTTGTGGCAAGAAGACTTGCAGCAAAGCATGAAAAGACAGACGCCTTATCACTATGTGCTGCTCAGTGATCCACCTGCAGTTCCAACAAGACTACAAAGCAATTTCTAGTCTCAGGCGTAAAGGCAGTCTGCCGCCTCACGCAGGGGTTTTACCTTGACGACCTCCTTTGGAGTGAACAGCCTGCATCCGTGTTGAGGATTGGTGAGAACCACTGAATTTTCGCCTGTTAAATGTCCTCCTCTTTACCGTCTACTTCCGATTTGTCTACCAATTTTTCTATAATTTATCTGCATGCTGCTCCCTTGCTTGGTAACGGTGAAGTTGTGGTGGTGATAATAAACGTCATGCGAGTCGAAATTTCCACGATGTAATGTAGTACAGATTGGCAGCCTTCAGTAGGGCACATGAAGAGGAGTCAAGTCATATGAATGGGTGGTTGAGAGTGAAGGCAGTCTTGGGGCCCTACGTAACAATTTTTTAAATTAGTGAAAATATTTTGTGTCTCTTCAGAAGGCATAGATTGCTTAGAGGTCTCTGCTTTTAAAAAAGTAGCTGACTTATAAGCAAGTTTGACCATTACTTGTTTCTGACTAAACTAGACGATTAAGTCTGAGTTGTCAATTGTTTTCTTTGTTATACCCATTTTAAACATTTATCCTTAAAGCAGAACTTCATTTGAAATCACTACATTAACTGACCGAAAGGACTCTTGCGGTTTTCCGTATAAATTGTTCTAATGACTTCCTGTAAGTTGTAGGTACATTTAAAAATGCGTGAGGTTGTTTACGTCCGCTATTAAGGGCAGAGAGGCGTAAAGATGTCGGTACAGTACGGCCGTTTTTGCTATCTACCACTTTCCTCCTGCCTTAGGCTCCCACTAATATCAAGTGCTGGCCAAAAGTACCTGGGATTAGTTAATCTTGCCTACTTTTCTGAAACAAGTTGAACTCGGTCTCGAGGTTGCAGAGGCCTCTGTCACCACCTCTACTGCAGCATATGATGATAAAGTAGTAAAAAACTTACCACCCAGAAGTGTTCCAAGCAATTTGCTCCAAATGATGGATCGCTCAGAAGACGATAAACCACTGTGAGGAGGACATCATATTCTTCAAGGTAATGAATAATTAGGTCGCCTTAGTAATTAGTATCTTTCAGGATTAACGTGGCAATAGATACTCTCTGTACAATTTAATCCGACTGATAAAGCAATTCACTGACAGTCGTGGGAACTGGGAAGTGAAGTAAATTGAGTTCGTCCATATGGCCTAAGGTAACGACTAATTTCATTTAGGCTCAATTTCTTTCAGTTGTGACATTTAGATGATTTCCTCGAACCAACCCCCAGACAAGTGCAACACTGGCAGTACCAAAACGACTCGCTCACCACTGCAAGGTCTCAGTTTCTACTGCACTCAACCAAAATGTGATAAGGTAGTGGGGTTCACAGTTTACTTGCTTATTCTACCTAATTTGATGGATCCTTTAACAGCTGTTTCACTTTTTTACTAAAACAATCAAGTAATCTTGCCTTATGCTATCCATTTACTCCACAGAAGGCGACTCCACCTAGAATCCAGTCGTGGGAATGGTAGTTGACTCGTGTTTCTCCCATTTAACTATCAGATGTATCCCTATCTTACTTGCCACACTAACACCTTCGCAGACTACATCAGCTCTGATAAGCATTCTCATTATTACAGTTTCATAATTCGCAAACTTCTTGTCACACGCAACATTTCCTTACCTACTGGACTCTTCCCATTCATTCCCGACGTTTCAATGTCTAGTTATGTTAGAGGGTTGGAGGGAAATGAAACATGTGAAAGTGGGGTGCATTTCTTGTCCATACTATCCTCAAATTCTATTCGTCTAGACAAATTGTTTGCGTTACCTTGATACACAGGAAAAAAAACTGATTAACACACTGTCAGTACACTCCTCTACCTCCAATGGTGTTGAATGTTGACACGTCATTTGGCATTAATGCGAGCC